TGCTATGGGGGACATTTTGCCCGGACAGCGGTACTACGGCATACTCTCATTTCGAATTTTATCAGTCAGGGGTTCTTTTACGCGGCACGCCAGTGTCTACACGGGCCCTCGACTTTAAGTACCATCCGAACGACTAGCCCCTGCCCTCCGTCCTGTACCACTGACTCAATACCTCCTAGCTAGCGAGCAGGCGTCATACCCACGGAACCACCGCGGCTCCGACCATCGGGAACGAACCTGAGAATACCGGGTTAGCGGACAAACGTCTTACCCACGGAACCACCATGCACGGCACCGACCATCGGGAACGAGCCCGAAACATCCTGGTTAGCGAGCCAGCGTCTTAAACACTGAGCCGCCGCGGTTCCTTGTTCGTGACAAGGAGTTGGGTTGCCTGCAAATGCAGAACCTCTCTCTCTCTCTCTCTCTCTCTCTCCACTGATAGGGGGGTGGATAGCTGAATGGTTAGCAAGTGCACGCTGTATTATAAGGTCTGTCATTGAGTCAACTGGAGTGGTTTCGATTCCCTGGTTGTACGTGACAAGGAGTAGGGTCGCCTGTCCAAAATCGTGGGTTTTTCTCCGGGTCCTCCGGTTTCCTTCTACTGCTAATTATTGAAATAAGAATGATCTATATGTTAGTCCCGAAATGACCTAGTTTGTGTCGAGTGGACGTTAAACGCCATCTCCCCCTCTCTCTCTCTCTTTCTCTCTCTCTCCGCTGATGAGTGTGACAGCGTCTCTTTAACAGTGTTTAACAGCAGTGCAATGGTAATGGACTGATTCAATGGATTAATAACTTGTTGGGTTCGCGTTGTGTTCACTATTAATCCCGCTCTATAACAAAGTGGATGATCGTCGATAAATAATCTGAATTATTTACTCGAGATATATTTATTCAATTATTCCTGGCTTTTAAGCAAATTAATGGACAAATTTTCCTTCAACCGTTTCATTAATCGGTGACGGGTTGATTGATTCCGACTTCTATTTTTAAAACCGATCGCTTTGTCAACAACATTCATATTATATGACAGGTGATGATAGTACCGACGATGAAGATCAAAATTCATAATTGTAATGGATATATTTTTAAAACATCTCTGATCGGCATTTGGGTGATTTTTTAATTTTAATGCCCTGTGAAACCCGGTATTGTGAAAGTTGGAGCTTTAAAGGGAAAATCTCTGGTCGGCATTTGAATGTTGAATCTCTAAAAGGAATATCGCAGTTCAAAAAATATTCAATTCCGTTCAGTATTTACAAAGGAATAACAGTACAAAATTGGTCCAATTCCGTTCAGTATTTACAAAGGAATAACAGTACAAAATTGGTCCAATTCCGTTCAGTATTTACAAAGGAATAACAGTACAAATTATTCAATTCCGTTCAGTATTTACAAAGAAATAACAGTACAGAATTATTCAATTCCTTTCAGCATATGTTTTTACAAAGATGTGATTTTCGCTGAAATCTTTCGATGGAGTTTTTTATTTTTAAAAATCTAATTGATTAAGCAGAGAGGTTATCTATATTATCTAGAGCGGATATCGTGATTTTGTTCTTAATTAAATGTTAAATAATTAATTTGAGTACATTTTATATTTAATAATCAATTCGAGGATGTTTTAGCCCAGATTACGTTGTGTAAAATTATATAATGTACAAAAAATGGAAATGGCGATCTGTGGCAAATGCGTTCTAGATGTGTCGTCCATAAATACAGCGTCTGGGTAACCCATGGATTCCTTTCTACAAGGTATGTATCCCACAACTGTTGTCTAATAACATTTTAACCAAGTCCACTTTAAAGATACATTCCCGCGTACGTACAAACTTTGTAATTTGATGATATACTTGGACTAAAAACATATTCAAAGTAACCAATCTATCAAACATTTGCCTCAATTCCCTCTTAAAACTTTGTATTCGTCGGGGATACCTATAGCTATAAGTAAGCTGTTGTTAGACGCAATGTCTATCAACTTAGCTTCGATGTGGGAGGGTCCATTTTTCATTACTTACTGTATATTTACCATACATATTGAAGCCTAAATCAATTCTTAATTATTTCTGTCAACTTCTTTTTTTTCCGCCGTTTATTTGCAGAATCTTTGTACGTTGACACCCCTCAATTATTGAAATAAAATGTAACCATATGTTAGTCCCGAAATAACTTACTTTGTGTCGAGTGGACGTTAAACCCAATCTCTCTCCCCTCTCTCTCTCACACACTCTCTTCTCGTTTAAGCGGGATTCCCTCTCTCTCTCTCTCTGTCTCTCTCTCTCTCTCTCTCTCGTTTAAGCGGGACTATCTGGCATACGACAACCCATTTGATTGAATTACTACAACCCTTTTCAACTTCGTGAGACGCAATAATGAAAGATCCGGTTCTCTTGATGAAGTCTCAGGTGCCATCTTGAACTTTTCTAAAAATTGATCCGAGTCACAAACATCATTATCTATCTCCTTTAAAAAAAAAAGTCAAAAGGTCAAAAGTTCAAGGGCACAGCAGCTAGCATATGTAACTTTCTTTTTGTTTCATATTACGAAGTCGAACATCGTCGATCGACTATAAGGATCCTTCAGCGTGAGAATTGATGTAATTAACTGACCCTAAAAAAAACCTATCCTACTGGTTATTACAGCAGGTGGTCGAAGATGGAGAGCCACTCGAAAACAACTTTTACATATTTATGGTAATAAGAGAGAGAGAAATGGGGTTTAACGTCCACACGACACAAACTAGGTCATTTCGGAACTAATATATTATATGGTTCTCTTTTATTTCGGGGGGTTGGATGGCTGAATGGCTGAATGGTTAGCGTGCGCGCGCTGTATCATAAAGTCTGTCATTGAGTCGACTGGCGTGGTTTCGGATCCTCGGTTGTACGTGGCAAGGAGTAGGGTCGCCTGTCCAACCTCGTGGGTTTTCTCCGGGGCCTCCGGTTTCATCCCACTGCTAAAGACCCCTACGCGCAAGCGAATTATGTAAATAAAATTAAACCATATGTTAGTCCCGAAATGACCTAGTTTGTGTCGAGTGGACGTTAAACCCCATTTCTCTCTCTCTCTCTTTTATTTCCATAATTGCTCGTAGGTGTAACGAACAACCAATTGATTTAATGACAGATCTTATGATGCAACGCACACGCGCTAAACATTCGGCCATCTACCACCACCCGCATGGTAATGCGCGGATTTAAGGGGGTGGGGTGGGGGTGGGGGTGCTAAGCGCACCTAAGCTTCGCAAAAATTACATGAACTGTGTGTTAACTTCAATAAAACTGCTTGGCGGACAACTATATTGGCAATACGGTCAATGTTCTACTGGGGTGCTCAGTGTTATTTAATGTATTTTATTACGTATTTTGTTGACATTCATTGTATGTAGGGTGGGCGCCCTAGATTTGAAACGCCCCCGCAACCCCCCCCCCCCACCCTGCGCTATTCATAGCTTCTAAAGCCGTAACTCGCTTGTAGTGTGTTATGAAGTAGATCGACAACGGTGCCAATGCGAACTCTTTTTTTGAGTGTCTACTGATGGGGTTTAACGTGCTTACTGTATACAGGAGAGCCTGATTTGTCGTCCCATCCGAAGGACAAGACGGTTCCCCTGCCCTCCGTCGTGTCTAACTCCACTGACTCGTAGAAGCCAAGCTGAAATTCTCGGCGGTTAATGTGCAAGGTACGTGTGCAGCCAGTCTATATGGGATCGTTATGGGTGTAGTTACCATGGAGACAACTTATCCTTAAAAACTAATTTAAAAATGAATATTCATTTCCTAATCACAGGAGCGGGGCGAATGTATTGCCTGCCAATGACCAAGCGTAGTTACGGATGGAAATTATCTTGAAGAACTAGTTGACCTAGATGCATATGCTACGCATTCCATAAATACGGGGGTGACCCGAATGTCTTACCTCCAGGTGATCGATAAACAACGGACAAAGATTTGTTGCGTCTTTATAACTTGCAGGTCTATATAAATATTATAATAATTTGGGTTTTGTTCTTTACTTTTTCAGGATCGTTACAAAAGCAAACCACCGATCACTGACACATGTTTAAGGTTAATAGGATAAAAACTAAAGCGGTGTTTGTATATATATATATATATTGTGGGTTTTTTTTGTGTGATGAGGTGGATTTAAATTAAAAAAACAAAAAAAAAAACGCATTAATAACGTTATTGGATAATTGATGAGTGATTCAACAGGCCGCCATTATCTTTTACGTCAATGATTAGATCTTCACATCAAACAAAACTTGATACAATCGTCATTCTTGTCAAACGTGGTTTCAAAATGGACTAGTAACATTAACCTTTCTGCGGCGGGATATTAGATCTATTATATACGCCAATATTTGAAATAAGCTACATCCACGGTTGGTATTGTTCTTTGAATAAACTTTTTGATGGAATGTAGGTGTTTCTCATCCGGTTTATGATTGGTTAATAGGCGTTTCAACCACCAATCAATTATCGTGTAACTCAAACGGGGTTAGTCTGAGCCAATATGATTAGGCCTACACATAAAAACAATTACAGTACCACGTCCGATTTGAATAAAAAATAATAAGAAAAAAAAACACATGAAGCGAAATTGTTGATTGATTGGCCAGCAGACTACAGGTGTAGAAGGCAGACATAAAAACTATGAGCGATGAATATGGGGTAACTTCCGGTGTTGGAACTTCAGTTGGCCTTTCATTTCAGAAACAGGGATTACTTTGTACCATGGCGGTAAATACAACGACGCTATATTTGGATTTACCCGCGTGGAGTTATGGGATATCTTTGACAATAATTCTCTTGACTTTTGTATCTGGTATTTTGGTGAACGTGACTATGATAGTGGTGATGGCCAGCAATAAACACCTAAGAACCTACATGAACGTGTATTTTATCAACCTAGCTGCTTGTGATTTAATCATCTGCTGTGTTCTCTTAATAATTCGTCTCTGTTTCTATGGCAACCATAAAACATTCGGTCATATGCTTTACAAGGTGGATTTATTTGTCCAAACTTTAACCGATGTACTTCGAATGGTTTTGTTAATTGGTGTTAGTTTTGAGAGACATCAGGCGATAGCAGCGCCTTTTAAAAAAGGCAAAGCAGCAAAGTGGCGTACTGTAATCGGTTGTGTGACGTCATGGTGTCTGGCTACTTTCTTGGCGGGAATATCTTTTGGTTATTATGAGAATAGCTTGAGCTACGTCTTTCGTGGACATCTTGTCAAAGTTCATGTGAACACTGAATTATACCTCATTTTGCCTTTAACGGCAATTAGCCTCGTTATGATAATCATATGTTACCTGGCAATGTTACGTCACTTATATCAACATGGCAACAAAATGGGGAGCCATGTTCGTAGGAAAAGCCGAGTGAGTCCGGAAATACCCACAATCTCCAAAGACGTTGAAAGAAAGACAACTCTTTCAAATACCGATAACATTAGGCCTTCTTTTAAAAGTCAAACACGTGACCCACCCTCAACACAGTCATTAGTACAGCATGTAGCCGTGAGTCATTCGGGTGGAAAAGGGCTTACTAACGTCTCCGTCTTCGGCATGGACGGGCAAATACACAATGAAACGATCAAAGTGAAGAACAACAGCTCAGAAATTGTTGGCGATGTTTGCGTGTACAATAACAAAAATCGCGTACAGGGCAAACGACGGGTGGAGATGCGCGCGGCAAAAAGAATCGGCATTGTGATGGGAACGTTTTTGATGTTTTGGTTACCGTATCCGATAACTGTGGTAGTGTGTAGAAACGTGTCTTTTTCTGGTTTCCATGGTGAGGAGTGTAGAAGTGCTTTAATTCTTTTGGCCAGCGTCAGCACCTCAACGGCTTTACTTAATCCGTTATTATATATACTTACAAATAAACAACTTAAAGCGGCCACACTGAAATTCTTAAAATCAAAGATTAGCTGTGGGCCTAAATCCCGACACTAAAATCAAGAGTTGTAGGCCTACTCTTTAGGCCTATACAAAGATGAAATTGAAAGTAGGTCTATGCAACATGTTCACTAATGACCAATAGAATGTAATTAGACAAAACCTCGACACAGAGGAAACTGGCAGAGACTGTTAATAAAAATACCAGCAGCACGTGGTATGCTAGCTAGTCCTGGTAATCGTGGTAGTTTCACCCGTGTTAGTTGATGGTCGACGTGCACGTGAAAGATCAATTGACCGTTGGTGTCCGATGAACTATTAATGAATGAAATGCGGTTTTATGGCACGTCAGCTCCAACCGGGCTATATTGCGCCAAACATATGGTGAAATGTCCGATGAAGAGTAGAGGGGACCGTCGCTGTCTGGGCAAAATGTCCCTTCTAGCACACTGCATGATTGATTCAGAAAATTAGGACGCTATACCCGCTGTAGGTGAATACGCTTTAAGAAAATCTCTAGTTCGAAGACCTTGTGGTTCTCGATTGTCACCGGGAATATTTCAAAGTAACAGAATTGCAATCGAGTGGCGCGGAATCAAGTCCTGTTAGTTGAGGTACTTGCTTATTTGGTCGACGGATATAATGTTCTGCAGCCCGAAATCACCTATCTACGTTTTGTTGCTCGGTTGTCAGTATTCGGGGGATTGAGAGACTTTAATTCTGGAACGTACAACCGAGTATATTATATACGCTAATGCCACGTGCTGTTTTTCTTTTTATTTACATTGACTGACAGTTCTCTACATAACGTCATATTTTAATTAAAGTCGAAGTAATTTGTATTTCATGCTGTTCATTGATAACACTATTTTAATAATATATAATTAACGAAACACGATAAAAGCATAGCAACACGAAATTACCCCTCTTCAGAAGAAATAAAATAAAAACACATTCCGCTATTTCAGTGCTAGAATTTAAACTCCTCAAACAAGTTGTGAAATCATCAAACCAAGAGGAATAACTCTCGGAAACGAGTCACGTGAATCAGTTTTATTCGACTTGTTTAAACTATAAAATTAAGGGCAATAACTCTCGGCAACATGCCACGTGAATTAGTATTGTGGATTATATAATTTTGTTTTATTCGACTTGTTGATTACTGTGATATAAATGAATCTTTTTTTATTTTTATGTTTTTTTTTTACTTTTTGATTATTGTCAGTTTTCCTGTTGACAAGTGGACGTTGATGGATCCGTGTAGCGACCTAGACTGCCCCCTCCCCCAACGCCCCATAACTAACAGTATCATAAAACTCACTTTAAAATGCTTTGTTTCTATGAAAAGTAAACTTGGGCCTTTTGTTGGTTGCAGTACAGTGAGGTTGTATCAGGGGCTAAGTGAGAGAGACTCAATGAAGAACATTGCGTCATGGTTTTGAGTTTTTGCGCCCCCTTCTTGAGTTTTTGTACTCCCACGCAAATGGCAAAAACTTAAGCGGTTTCAATGCGGTTTTCAACATTATAATCATAATCATAATGCTTAAAGGGACAATAACACTTTTGCTGGCTTGAAAGCTCCAGAAAATAAAAAAATAGCCTTATTCTAAGTACTAGATGTGTTAGTGTCCTACCTGTTGTGTAAATTATCCATTAAATCCTATTTTACTTGTCCAGAGGGTTCAAAAATATATTTAAATCCAAGTCGCATTTGAAAAGCTTTACGTCAGGCTTTTCAAATCATTTAGTTGAATTTTTCCAATTTTTTAAATTAGGTGTGTTAAGATGAAATTTGTATCATCAATTAATTGGAATATTGTAAAATAGTACAATTTGTTGACCAGAATAAAGATTGGGACATATTATTCAGTTACAACAAGAGTGGTATTGAGCCTTTAACCAGTGTCAAATATATACCGTGGATCAGATATATGCTACAAATCGACTCTTGCATGTTCAACACAGTCCCCCCCCCACCTCTGCACACACATATATCATATATATATTGTTTTTCGGGGGGGGGGGGAGATCGTGTTCCTCATGCAAAATCATGGGTCACGAGTCAGCACGCCCCTGGGTTGTAGGTAATGATATTGAATGTTAGATTCAGTTCCAGATATGCGCCACAAACCACCACATTCTGCACACAGTGATCCATCTACTTCATACTTCGGGAACAGACCTCTGCCCGGAATGGTCGCCATATCCAAAAATTAGCTTACTATTTTGTAATGTGGTTCTATTCCATTTCACATCTGTCATACCCACATACTTCGGGAACAGACTTCTGCCCGGAATGGTCGCCATATCCAAAAATTAGCTTACTATTTTGTAATGTGGTTCTATTCCATTTCACATCTGTCATACACACACAGACAAAATAAACCTTTTCGGTTTTATTTAATGGATGCGGAATAAATACTTCACAAAATTCTCGAAGTATGCTTAGTACTTTCGACTAAAATCATCGATTTAGGACTTAAAATGTCGGTCAACTAGCTTAGTGTCTGTTCTGAGGCGGAGCTAACTGTAGACAGGCAGCCTAAGTTTAGTATAAAATCACCATTGACACCTTGAAATTTCAAATTGTTCTCGGAGATATAGAGAATCTCCTACGAGTCGTATTTGATATCAAAAACTATCAACACTAGTCGATAAAGTAAAAAAAAACCCCAAAACGAGGCTTTGATATCAAAAAAGACGAGTATGAGATTTTATTTATCACCCAATCCTTTCTTACATGCACAAATAAATAAATATAATTCTTTGCTATAGATTTCACCTTTACTGATTACATTATGGCGTAGTGATACCACAATTTTGACAGCAATTCAACCATTGCTAAGTCCTTTATACAGACCCAATTTTTCCACCAAAGTCAATTAAATAAAAATACACGTAGTTTCTTTTTAATTAAAAAAAAATTACTTTTAATAAAAAAAACAATTGATCTTTGAAATTCATGTAAAGCGATAAGGAGATATCGCAGATTATGAAATTTATCACACAAGCGATATCTACTGTAGAATGTGTTATTGGGTGATAAAATCAAATAACTAGCGCGGGTTACAACAAAATGTTCAATAGTTATCAGTCCTGAACTCTTCTTCCATTTCTCCAGGCTCCAAGGGGGGGGGGGTGGCCGAATGGTTAGCACGTGCGAGCTGTATCATAAGGCCTGTCATTGAGTCAACTGGCGTGGTTTTGAATCCCCGGTTGTGCGTGACAAGGAGTAGGGTCGCCTGTCCAACCTCGTGGGTTTTCTCCGGGTCCTCCGGTTTCCTCCCACTGCTAACGACCCCTACGCGCAAGCGAATTATTGAAATAAAATTATACCATATGTTAGTCCCGAAATTACCTAGTTTGTGTCGATTGGACGTTAAACCCATCTCTCTCTCTCTCTCTCCCTCTCTCTCTCCCTCCCTCCCTCCCTCTCTCTCTCTCTCTCCCTCGCTATATTTTTATGCATAATTCTCTCTCTCTCTCCAAGCTTCAAAATCATTGGTGTAGCTCTATAGATTCCTCAAAGTCCGTGCCGTGTCTGTGCCCCAACTGTCGATCCGGTACTGTGTATGACGTATAAGTAAGGCGGTTTTAAAACCCTATCGTTCACTTCATTTCTTCTTCCCTTGTCAGTGATGCAGGGCGGAGGGCCTGGCAAGGACAGCTGTCTAGTCGTTCGGATGAGACGAAACCGAGGTCCCGTGTACACATTGGCGTGCACGTAAAAGATCTCTAGGTAGTTGGAATTCGATATAATAGCAGGACGTAGTGCCGCTGTCCGGGCAAAATTTCCCTCATAGCACACTGTATACCAGATGCCCGTCTTCATTAGCCCAGTCGGAGCAGAACAGTAGAAAGTTAAACTCCATAGCTCTATTATTTGGAACCTTAAAGATGGGTTCCCGCGTACAAACTGGGTGATTTAATGGTATATATGGACCAAAAACATATTCAAACTAATTAATTTGTCATAATTATGCTTCAAATTCTTCTCAAACATTGTAATTGCGAAGGAATGCCCTGCTATTAAAATTTGATCAAACCAGGTCATGTTTGCGTCACGTCTTGGGAGTCCGAGGAGAATTCATTGCATACATAAGACGATGCTGTCTTTAATCGCTTACTATTTATTACAAATATCGAATCCTAATTAAATTCTCGGATTATCCACTACCCGCGTCTTTTTCCGTCATTTTTATCTCAGAAAGTATTGTACGTCCAATTCTTCATAAAGTTTATCAACTTGTACATCAAGCGCTCAATGTTCGCTTGTGACCTTTGACATCATGCGTGCAGAAGTTCCTAATCGTCGGGCTGTTGATTAGGGGAACCCTTACATTTTTGTCCTGTATACGCTCCATGAGTGTTTTTCGGGGAATCCAGTATTTTTCTAGTAAGATTGGATATCTCTACTTTCCATATATACCAACATTGCCATACTTTTATTGGAAATAACCACCCGATAAATACTTTTCTGGGAACTCATCTTTAAACTAGACGAACGGGGGTTTAAAAGAACATATTAAAGCGAGAATTTCAAATTTTCTAAGAAAGTCAAAACATAATTATTTTTATGTCTTTTGCTCAATAGGTTATCAAATTACTATTATACGATCATGGGCATTATTTCCCACCCTTAAAAATCTATGAAACAGGAAATAACAACACAATTACCCCCCCCCCCCCGTTTTGCTATTGACAACATGGGGCAGTCATTTGCCAATGTTGGAATTTGAAGTTAAAAATGATATTTTTGCCAATTTCTCAGCTGGCAATAGCGAATTATAGGACTAATAGGATTATTCTTTAACAAGGTAGGACTGTTTATGGATACCATAAAAGTGATTTATATTCATTTTGTTTTTATTGTAATTACTAATCAATTATGTTCTGTGAAATACGCGAACATTTGCTTAGTCCATTCTACATTTTTAAAATTATATTGTAGTTTTTGAATCAGCCATTACTAATTTCTTTCTTATTGTTTTGTAGGATACGTTTTTCTGTGTTCATTACAAATGGCGCCCAAAAACACAGAGTGCACAGGTTGTGTA